GGAGCCCCGGGAGGTATCTGGGTCGTGGCGGGGGGCCCTGGAGGCCTGGGCGAGGGGGCGGAGCCAAAGGCGACTTGGCCGGAGGAGCCAGGAGGGAAGGGCTGGACAGCAGCCAGGGAGGGCCGATGAGGCGGAGGTGGGCCCATCATGCCGGCCGAGATGCCGGGGAAGGCCAAGGCCCCCGAGTGGGGAGGGAGCTGGTAGTGCTGGGGTCCCGGCTGACCGGGGAACTGCCCTTGGCTGGGAGGATGAGCGGGGCCCTGACCCGGAAAGGGCTGCTGCCCGGAGACCTGGGGCGGGAACGGAGACTGGAAGGCCGGTGGCTGCAGAGGGAGCTGGCCCTGGGGCAGGAACTGCTGGAGCGACGGCTGCCCCGCCAGGGCCCGGGGCTGGACGGGCCTCTCCAGGGGGGGCTGCAGCGGTCCATGAGCGGAGAAGCCCTGCGGGGGCTGAGCAACCGAGAAAGGGGGCAGAGCCTGCTGCATGTAGGGAGGGGCTCTGGCCTGGGCATAGGGGAATGGCAGGCTGGGCCTCTGCTGCCCCACAAAACCCCCCTGGGGGGGAGGCCCCGCCCAGGGTGGGAGGGGGCCGGCGGTGCCCCGGGGGAAGGTGCAGCTGGAGATGGGGGCCTGGATGCTGTCCACGGTGGTGGTGGCCGGCCGCACCGCCTGGGTGTGGGCGGGGAAGCCGCCATCTCCAAAGGGGTGGGGGGCCGTCGGGGGCGGCCGGACAGAAAGCGGAGGGGCGTGGCCCGCCGGCAGTGCTCCGCCGGAAGACGCCGGCTGCCCCCGGCAATAGGCTGGCCCCGGGGTGGAGATGGGCATGGGCAGATGCTGCGGGGAGGACCGGGGGGGAGGCAGCTGGGGCCCCGGGTAGGCAGGCGGCAGAGAGGCCAAGGCCGGGCCCTGCAGGTGGGCCCCAGGGGGGAAGGCCTGCGAGGAGGATGGGGCGGAGCTCAGGGGAGGCACGGCCGGTTGTGGGGCAGAAGGCTGCATCTGTGGGGTGGGCATGTGAGGGGTCCCCAGGGCCCCTGGGAAAGGACCCTGCCCAGGGCCAGCCGGGATCCCAGCCGTGGGGGCAGCCCCTCTGGCCGGCAGGTAGTGTCTGGGCAGGGGGCCTGCGGGCATGTACTGGCCCGGAGGGTAGGGGGCCGCGGGCTGGCCCACCTGTGGGGGCTGCAGAGGAGCGCTCGTGGCCCTGCCGCCCATCCTGAACGCCTCGGGGCCCGGGGCTCTCAGGCCCCCACAGCCGGAGGGGTGGGCTCCCAGGAGAGCGGCCAGGGCGTCCGGGGGGAGCTGCGCCAGGTGAGAGGCCAGCACCTCGGGAGGCAGGCTCCTCAGCTCCTCGGGCAGGTCGGCCAGGGAGAGGGAGCTGAGGGGAAGGGGCTCCGCAGGGTCCAGGTCCGGGGCCTTCGCCTGGAGAGGGGGCTTGGGGGTGGTGGGCCGGGGCGGGGGCCTCTTCTTCATCTCCCTGTTGGAACAAGAGCAGGCACACAGACAGCATATGCATGAGTGGGGAGGGGGCCTCCCGGCAACACCTCCCAGCCCAGAGACCTTCCCCTCCTGGATGGGCAACGGGACAGATGGGAGAGGAAGGGGGACCGGCAGGACTGCCCAGCAGCTGGGCCAGCAGGCGGCACAGACAGTCTCCCTGCCCGAGGGCCCCGGCATCTCCGGTGGCACGGAGCCTTCCCGAAGTCCTGGGCCTCTACTGAGCCCTTTGCTTAGGTCGCCATGGATGTCAACGCTGTACAGGCCTAGAATAGTTTAATTTCTATTTCTCTTCTTCTGGATTATGTTAGGGTTCCCTGGGATTCAACACAGCTAAAAGAACTGGTAGTCTACGCAATTCTCGGGTTCCATTATTCAGCCGCTTATCCAGAAGAAGAGAAATTGAAACGTCCATATACCTAGGAGAGGCGTTATACCTAAGACAGGGCTCTTTTTGTAGAAAAAGCCCAGCAGGAACTCATTAGCATAATAGGCCACACCCAACAGCAGAAACTCATTAGCCTATTGGGCCACACCCCTGATAGCACAGCTCATTAGCACATTAGGCCGCAACCCCCATGTTACCAGAAGTGTGGTTATCCAGCCACACCCACCTTTTGCTTCTTATTCTGTTTACCTTGTTTGTTGTCCAAACCCAGGGCCTTTTTTTGTAGCAGGAACTCCTTTGCATGTTAGGCCACACACCCCTAATGTAGCCAATCCTAATGCGTTCCTGCTGTTGGGTGTGGCCGGAACTCCGTTCCTGTGCGTTCCTGCCCAAAAATAGCCCTGCCTAAGGAGATTTTTCCACTGGTCGTCCTCTGCTCGATTTCTGACTGCAGGAGGTCTTTGAACACTTTTATTGCATTTAAGCAAGGAGAATCAAACAGATTTGTGTGCATACCTTGTTATCAGCGCCTGTGAGCACAAACAGGTTTATTTGTATCTCAATGCTGATGTAGGGTATGCCATGAGCACGTATCATTATATTTGGGAACACTGTATTTGTTGTGGGTTACGGACCACCAACTCATTATAGACATTTATTTGTAATTTAAACACTTACTTAATACATCTTATACTCAGACATTTCAAGTGCATTTAATCTTTGATGGTCTTCCCTTGGTGTTTTTCTGCTGTTTTGCAGAAAAAACAGGGATCCCTAGCATGCAGGGGTCATTTCCTGCGTGAGCGCACAAGAGCGGAGCTCCGACAGTAAGCAGCCCAGGGGGCGGGCACATGCAACAAGCCCCGCCCCCTGCTCCCAGCAGCCCTCAGTTGGGCCACGAGGAGCAAGAAGCAGCCAGGTGAGTTGCAGAGGTCCCCCCCGGCCCGCCTTCAGGTACAAGCTCTCCCTCCTCTGCCAGGGTAGATCTGCACATCCCCCCTAAGCATTACATGGCTATCATTTTGCACATGGGGCAGACCTGTTCTCTGGGGTCCAGAAGCCATCTCTACCATCCACTGAAACAGGGTCCCCCTTTAAGGGACGGATGTGCCACCCGTGGAACGGCAGCGAGGCCTCCTGACCCAACTCCTGAGACCTCTGATATTCACCCGCCGTAGAATACTGGACTCGGGAAATACTGGGAGTGTCTTCCATGGAATCGGACATTGCCCATCTGATCAGATGCCGAAAAGATCGGGCATCTTATCAGGATAGTCATAGGAACATAAGAGTTGCATCAGGCCAATGGCCAACAAGTCCAACACGCTGTGTCACACAGTGGCCAAAAATGCCAGAGGCCATCAGGAGGTCCAGCAGTGGGGCCAGGAGACTAGAAGCCCTCCCACTGTTGCCCCCACCCCCCAAGCACCAAGAATACAGAGCATCACCTGCCCCAGACTGAGAGTTCCTATCTATACCTCGTGGCTAAGAGCCTCTGATGGACCTCTGCTCCATATGCTTATCTAATTCCCTCTTATAAGAACATAAGAGAAGCCAATGTTGGATAAGGCCAAAGGCCCATCCAGCCCAACACTCTGTGTCACATGGTGGCCAAAAATACCAGGTGCCATCAGGAGGTCCAGCAGTGGGGCCAGGAGGACACTAGAAGCCCTCCCACTGCTGCCCCCCCCAGCAGCAAGTCATACTCGACTGGGTGTGTCAGGCGCCATCAAGCTGCAGCCGACTGAGGGCAACCCCAGCAAGTGACTTTCCAGGCGAGTGAGAAGCCGAGATGATTGCCTATGCCCTCCCTCTGCAGAGTCCTCCTTGGGGGTCTCCAGTGCTCTCTCTAAGCCGTGGAGTCTTGTGAGCAAAAATTCTGCTTTGTGCATTAAAGTTGTGAGCGGGCCTTTTGGCTACTGCGTTAGTTTGCTCTGGAGCCATCCTGCCTGAGCAAAGACAGAAATGTGTGAGCCGGAGGCTAAAAAATCGTGAGCAGGCTCACACTCGCTCAGCTCAGGGGGAACACTGGTGGTCTCCCTTCCAAGTATCAACCCTGCTCAGCTTCTGAGATCTGACCCGGTCGGGCTGCCCCATAGGCCACCTTCCCTCCCCATATCTGATTGCACATCCCTAATTAACTACAGGGCCAGCACCTTCCTTCCCAGTCCAGCGTCTGCCCACAATGGACGGCGCTGGCGGCCCCTCCTCCCCGCACACGCGGCACTCACCTCTCCAAGACCTGCTGCCGGGTGTCTTCAGCCGCCTGGCGGCCGGCTTGGGCTTTCTCCAGGAGCTTGCCTACTTTGCCTTCCAAGTCGGCGTAGAAATCTTTCCCCTCCTGGGACTTCTTCATCAGGTCCTCATAAGCCTCGTAGGAAGTCACCAAAGTCTGCAAGGTGGTGTTCCACCTGGGGGGGGTGGGTGGAGGAAGAGACGACTAAGTAAGCAGTGAAGTGGCTAAATTTGCGTATGACACGAAGTTGTTCAGGGTGGTGAGACCCAGTGAGGATTGTGAGGCACTCCAAAGGGATCTGTCAAAGATGGGCGAGTGGGCGTCAATGTGGCAAATGGGGTTCAATGTGGCCAAGTGCAAAGTGATGCACATTGGAACCAAAAATCCTAACTATATATACACGTTGATGGGGTCTGAACTGGCAGAGACTGATCAAGAGAGAGATCTTGGAGTTGTAGTAGATAACTCACTGAAAATGTCGAGACAGTGTGTGACTGCAATAAAGAAGGCCAATGCTATGCTGGGGATTATTAGGAAGGGTATTGTAAACAGATCAGCCAATATCATAATGCCGCTATATAAATCAATGGTGCGACCTCATCTGGAATACTGTGTGCAATTCTGGTCACCACACCTTAAAAAGGATATTATAGCTTTGGAAAAAGTGCAGAAAAGAGCAACCCGAATGATAAAAGGGTTGGAACACTTTCCCTATGAGGAAAGGTTAAAGCGCTTAGGGCTCTTTAGCTTGGAGAAAAGACGACTGAGGGGTGACATGATCGAGGTTTATAAGATTATGCATGGGAAAGAGCAGGTAGAGAAAGAGGTACTTTTCTCCCTTTCTCACAATACAAGAACCCGTGGGCACTCCATGAAATTGCTGAGCGGTCGGGTTAGAACGGATAAAAGGAAGTACTTCTTCACCCAAAGAGTGATTAACACATGGAATTCACTGCCACAGGAAGTGGTGGGTGCTACAAGCATGGACGGCTTCAAAAGGGAATTAGATAAGCATATGGAGCAGAGGTCCATCAGTGGCTATTAGCCACGAGGTATAGATAGGGGCTCTGGGGCAAGGGATGCTCTGTCTTCTTGGTGCTTGGAGGTGAGGCAGCAGTGGGAAGGCTTCTAGTGTCCTGGCCCCACTGCTGGACCTCCTGGTGGCCCCTGGTATTTTTGGCCACTGTGTGACACAGAGTGTTGGACGGGATGGGCCATTGGCCTGATCCAACATTGGCTTCTCTTATGTTCTTATGTCTGGGAGGCTCTGAGTGCCACCTCTGGCACCCGTGCCATCTGGGGGGGCACCAGTGGGAGGGCTTCAAGTGTCCTGGCCCCACTGCTGGACCTCCTGGTGGCCCCTGGTATTTCTGGCCACTGTGTGACACAAGAGTGTTGGACTGGATGGGCCACTGGCCTGATCCAACATTGGCTTATCTTATGTTCTTATGGATAAATGTATGGAGCAGAGGTCCATCAGTGGCTATTAGCCACAAGGTATAGATAGGAACTCAGTCTGGGGCAAGGGATGCTCTGTATTCTTGGTGCTTGGGGGGGGGGTCAACAGTGGGAGGGCTCCTAGTGTCCTGGCCCCACTGCTGGACCTCCTGATGGCACCTGGTATTTCTGGCCACTGTGTGACACAGAGTGTTGGACTGGATGGGCCATTGGCCTGATCCAACATTGGTGTCTCTTATGTTCTTATGACTGGGCTCAAGGCGAGAAGCGCACCCCCCCCCAGCAGAACGGATGGCTCCAGGGGGGCGCGGAGGCCACCCAGTCAGGGTTCATTCCCCAGTGATCAGTGGCTGAAGATGCTGAGAGTGAATTGTGCAGCTGGAGGCTCTGGGCACTCATTTCGCACGGATGGCCAAGGAAAGGCTCTCCACCGATCCTTGGCCAAGCCTGGTCCTGGAGGGGCACCCCTCGGAGGGACCGCCTTTCCCCATATGTACTCCAGAGGGCACTGCGGTTAGGGTCGCAGAATTGTTTGACCCTCCCAGGCCCCATGGATGCCAGGCTCGCTACTACCAGGGCCAGGGCTTTCTCAGTGGCGGTTCCTTACTGGTGGAACGAGCTCCCGGGAGAGACTGTGGCCCTGCGGGATCTTTTGCAGTTCCGCAGGGCCTGCGAGACGGAGCTCTTCCGCCAGGCTCTCGACTAAGGAGCCGCCCCCACTATTACCATCAACGAGCCCGGCCTTCAGCCTTAACGTCTGGCTCATGCCATCGAGGGACTTGGGAAGACCACTGAGCTGGGGACAGTCTGCTTGCAAACAGTTTTGGAGTGCCACATCTCAAGTAACTGAATGAGCACTACTAGCCCCTTATGATTTTGTGATGTTATCTGTATCTGAACTGTTTTGACTGATCATGGGTGGTTTCATTTGGCCATTTTGTACCAACCGTGGAAGTCGCCCTGAGCCTGCTCACGGGGAGGGCGGGGCGCAAAACAAACAAATAAATACCATAAGTAAATTGGTCTCTCTGTGCAAAAGGTGGTGTTTCTGGGGAAGGGGGGGGGTGCACGCCTGGGGGAAGGGCAACAGGGTCCCTGCCTGGGGCTTCGGGCCAAACCCCTGCAGTTCGGGAACCCAGAGTTCTCCACCCCGATCCCTACCCCTGCCTCGGGAGGGAGCTTTGTATCACGAAAAGCGGATGGCCCGTACAAAACAGACGGATCCATCTGGCTGGAGCAAACAAGCGCTGACTCCATTTTGTGGCGGGGCACTTTCTCCTCCTTCCTCTCTCCACTCCTGTGACCTACCGGTCCTGAGTAGCATCGGTCATTCCCAACGAGGAACAAGAGGGAGAAAGGAAGGATTCAAGCCGGAGGGGGAAGGCGGTACCGTCTTCGAGAAGATGGCTTGTCCCAGCCTATCCGTACTCTCACGTCCTGAACAAGGAGGTTAGCTAACAAAAGAATGTTGGCTAGCTAGCCTAGAATCCATTAAAGATTATTTACTAAAACACTCAGGGGCAAGCTCGTTTTGCTGGCACACAAGCGGTTTCAAAAACCCAAAAAGGCAAGTCACACTGAGCAGTGGGCCAACAATTAAAACTTAATGTATAAATAATACATTAAAATACATGTATTTATTTGTAAAGAAAAAAAAAACATATAGGGGCCTGATCACACCTATGTAAAATTCCTTCTGGACCAGTGTTCCCTCTAAGCTGAGTTAGTGTGAAGCCAGCTCACAGTTTCTTAGCCTCCGGCTCACCCATTTTTGTCTCCGCTCAGGAAGGACGGCTCCAGAGCAAACTAATTTATGCAGCAGCCCAATCGCTGGCTCACAACTTTAATGCCAGGAGCTCACAAAGCAGAATATTTGCTCACAAGACTCCACAGCTTAGAGGGAGCATTGTTCTGGACCAGAAGTAACAAAATTCCTTTAAAATTTTATTAATGTATTTATTACTTTTGGATTGTTTCAATATTTTAGATTGCATTGGTTAATATTTCTTTTGCTTCTAGACTATTATCACTGAAATATGATTGGATCTCGGGAGGCCTCATTTATATATTCATTCTATGCCAAGTAATTTCACTCTGGAAGTAAGTTTTTTTTAAAGTACAATATAGGCATTGTTTATTTATCCATTTTATATGTATTTGATTTCACATGTTTTTAATAATATTTTACAGCATTTCCTTTCTTCTCCATTTTGAATCCGTGCGGTAAAATTGTATTATATTATGTAGTATGGTATAAGCTAAATTGTTCCTCATTGTGTTTGACCTCTGAAGAAGGTCCTAACAGGCCGAAACGCGTCAGGTCAAGTCCATCGGCCCTTGTGTATGTATGATTTTGGAATTTTACATGAGGTGTGATTGGGCCCCTATATGTTTTTTTAATTCTTGCAAATAAATACATGTATTTTGACATATTATTTATCCATCAAGTTTTAATTGCTGGCCCTCTACTCTGCTTGACTCAGAATCATAGGGTTGGAAGGGGCCATAGAGACCATCTAGCCCAACCCCCTGCCCGATGCAGGACCAGCCTAAAGCATCTCTTTACCTTTTCAGGTTCTTGATCCTAGTTTCCAGGGTTAAATTTGTTCCCCCTTTTTGGTCCGTACGTAAGTGGTTTCATCCATTTCTCTCTCGCCTTTTATACCACAGACATTCAAACAGACGTTTCACACGTTTCATGTTTTCTACGGTGCCTAAGCCACAGCTGCCATATCTACCGCTCACCCTGCCGACGGACTCACTTGTGCTCCACCTCGGCCAGGGCCTTCCGCACCGTGGCGTACTTGACGTTGGCGTCCGTCAGGGCCTTGAGGATGTTCTCTTGGGCGGCCAGGTTCTGCTCCAGGTACACCTTGATCTGGTCGTACTTCTTCAGCTGCTCTTCAAAGAGTTTCTGCGCACAGGTGAAAGAACAGGAGTCAGGAGGCCAGGGAGGAAAGGGACCAGAACACAACGCTCAGCCTGCCAGTCCCCCCCATGGGTGAGTTCAGTGCTATCTGGAATCAGAGCTCTTAGGCCTTGCCCAGGAAGCCCCGGCACATTCTCCTTGGGGAGCATCATTTGGAATGTCACTGGCTTCCAAAACCAGGGGTCATTTCCTGCAGGAGCGCACAGGAGCGGAGCTCCGGCAGTAAAGAGCCCAGGGGGCGGGCACATGCAACAAGCCCCACCCCCTGCTCCCAGCAGCCCTCAGTCAGAGCAAGAAGCAGCCAGGGAAGTTGCAGAGCTCCCTCCCTGGCTCCCCAGCCCAAAACAGTCCAGTGGCACCTTTAAGACCAAGTTTTATTCAGGTACAAGCTCTCCCTCCTCTGCGAGGACAGATCTGCACGTTCTCCCCCCCCCCATAGCTAGCAATCCAAAACAGTCCAGTGGAGCCTGAGCGGTGGGTGTTGCCTTTTGACACACTTCCGGTGACGTCAGGGGGTGTGGCATATGCAAATATGTTATGCTAATGAGTTATGCTAATGACTCCTGCACCTCTTTTTCTACAAAATGACCCCTGCCCAAAACCATCCTGTTCTTCTCCGTAAGCTTCCGGTGGCCAAGAGCCAGGCCAGTCGGCACCTTTTCCAAACTGGTTTACTGTTGCTCTGAAGTGTTTATGTCGATTTTTTAAAATGCCATCAAGTCTCAGCTGACATGGTGACCCCTGATGGGGTTTTCAAGGCGGGGGAAGTGCATCGCCTGCCTCTGTGGAGCGAGCCTGGACTTCTGTGGTGGTCTCCCATCCAAATACTAACCAGGGCCGATCCTGCTTAGCTTCCTCTGTTATTCTTATATAATCTACCTCTGTTTTGCATGACTGTTGAGCAATTGTGGTCTGCGTTATTTATACATTGTTTGCTTGCTTTCTGTGAATTCGTATACTGCGATATCGCACTGGTTTATAGAAGTCATTCCACCTGCTCCAGACTCCTCCATGGAAATCACCATTGATGAGAAATCCCAGCCCAGCCCCGGCACTTCCTCCTGGCCCCCCACCTTCATCTCTGACCGGCCTGTCGTCACCAGGGAGGTGGTGATATCGTCCTTCTGGATCATCTCGCGCAGCTGCTGCTCCAGGGAGACCCGCTGGTCCTTCATCTCCTGCACTTTGGCCAGGATCCGCTTCAGGTTCTGCATCACTTGCTTGTCCTCTGCGGGGCAAGGCGTGCACCTGGTCAACTTATTTAATTCGATTTATACCCCGCCCTCCCCGCCGAGGCAGGCTCAGGGCGGCTCCCACAAAACGCATACATTAAATACAATTAAAATCCATCATAAAAACAGCCAAAAACCATGAACAAATCAGTTATCCTTGGCTGTGATCTCACACACACTAAATAATCCACTTTAAATCCAGTCTAGTGTTGTGGTTAAGTGCACGGACTCTGATCTGGGAGAGCCGGGTTTGATTCCCCACTCCTCCTCCACTTGCACCTGGCTGGAGGATGCCCTGGGGCAAGCCGTAGTTCTGATAAGAGCTGTCCTTGGAAAAGAGCAGTTCCTGTCAAGAGCTCTCTGAGCCCCACCTACCTCACAGGGTGTCTGTTGTGGGGAGGGGGAGGGAAAGGAGTTTGTCAGCCACTTTGAGACTCCTTTGGGTAGTGAAGGGCGGGGTATCAATCCAATCTCCTCTTCTTCAAACTGGATTTTACTGTGTGAACTGACAAAATCCAGTTTGAAAGTGGATTGAAAGTGGATTATTTAGTGTGTGCGACCACAGCCCTTAAGGGCTGGAACAGTCTTCAGATAAAGTGCAAGAGCAGAGAATTTCAGATTTGCACGATACTCCATAGGTGGCAATAGTAATGATGTTCCTTTGCCAGCTCCATTGATCTCCTTATACACGTGCAGCACGGGCGGACTGAAGACGGTGAGGCCAGGGCACAGGGGCACTCCTCGGGGTATAAGCAGCTCCTTAGTCGAATGCCTGGTGGAAGAGCTTCAGCCAGGAAGAGCCCCCCCAATCTACCTCTCGGGCCCATTACACTGACAGCGGTGTCTTCCCCTGGTGCAAGGAGCCCTCCTCTGGCTTCGCGTGGTGTAGGGATCCCAAGTCCCCCCGGGAGACCGGGGGCCCGGATTGGGCCCCGGGGGGAACTCCACCCCGACGTGCGCGTCACCCGGAAGTGACGCGGGTCCTCCCGTCACTTCCGGGTGACACACGCGCGCACGCGCGCACGCGCGCACGCGCGCACACAAAACACCGGCCAGGAGCCCCCCGCTCCCGGCGAAGATACACTTGGCAACCCTAGCGTGGTGGGAGGCGGCCTCCTCAGTGCCACCGCTGGTGGGATGGGGCACGTGGCCTCCAGCCTCTAGTTCCCACCTTTGCCTGCTGCAGACCAGGGCAGGAAACCGGGACCAGAGTCATGTCCATTGTCCATTTAACCCCCGAGCTCGCCGGATCAGCTGCTAGGTAGGAGGAGGGGTTGGGGCGTTTGAAAGGTGGGTTGGTCAGAGCCCCCCGAAACACAACACAAGGAGGCGTCCGTGGCACTGCGAGAAGGGGGCATCAGCGATACTGTTCTAACAAGGGCAGGACTTTGGCTACGAGCATCCAGTCCCCAGAAGAGCGCGACTCTGGTCGGGGGGTGTACAGTGGCAGAAAGTGCCACCGAGTCACAACTGAGTTATGGTGACCCCAGGTGGGGTTTTCAAGGGCAAGAGACACTCAGAGGGGGGTTGCTGTTGCCTGCCTCTGCACAGTGACCCGGGACTTCCCCGGTGGCCTCCCGTCCAAGGACTAGCCAGGGCCGGCCCTGCTTCGCTCCCGAGATCTCACCAGATCGGGCTAGCCATGGCTCTCCAGCTCAGGGCAAGGCCAAGGGTTCCCCCTGGCTCAAAAGCCAGTCGAATCCGACTCCAGGGATGCGGTGCTCATCTCCGTCCCCAAGCCGAAGAGCCGGCGCTGTCCGAAGATGTCTCCGTGGTCATGTGGCCGGCGTGACTGGACGCCGACACGCACGGAACGCTGTTTACCTTCCCACCGAAGCGGTCCCTATTTTTCTACTTGCAATTTCTTGCTTTCGAACTGCTAGGTTGGCAGGAGCTGGAACCAGAGACGGGAGCTCACTCCGTCACGTGGCACACTCGGGTCTCGAACTACCAACCTTCCGGTCCGCAGTTCAGCGTCTTAACCACTTGAGCCACCACAGCCCCATTCTCCATCGCCAAATTAGGAATTTCCTGGAGATGTAGGGGCCGGGGCCCAGGGAGGGCAGGGTTAGGGGAGGGGAAGGACCTGATGCCATAAATTCCACCCTCCAAAGCGTAGTCTGAAGATCAGTTGCAATTATGGGGGAGCTCCAGGCCCCACCTGGAGGTTCCCAAAACAAAACGAGAAGTCGCGGACAAGACAGAAATAAAGAAACAAAAAAGCGTCGTCTGAAGATCAGTTGCAATTATGGGGAAGCTCCAGGCCCCACCTGGAGGTTCCCAAAACAAAACGAGAAGTCGCGGACAAGACAGAAATAAAGAAACAAAACCGTGACTGAACAAGAAAAAACAACCATAAATTATCAACAATTGTTAAATGTATATTGTGTTACAGTGATTATTAGAAGCACAGATAAGGTCAAGGTTTCCCTTGCTCGAAAGCCGGTCAAACCCGACTCTAGGGGTGCGGTGCTCATCTCCGTTTCCAAGCCGAGGAGCCGGCGCTGTCCAAAAACATTTCCGTGGTCATGTGGCCGGCATGACTAAACACCAAGGCGCACGGAACGCTGTTCCCTTCCCACCGAAGTGGTCCCTATTTATCTACTTGCAGTTTCTTGCTTTTGAACTGCTAGGTTGGCAGGAGCTTGAACTAGAGACGGGAGCTCACTCTGTCATGCGGCACCCGGGTCTCGAACTGCTGAACTACCATCCTTCTGGTCTGCAAAGTGTCTTCTATGTTTTGCCAGGGGAGGGGAAGGGGCAGGGAGCACCCGGGGCAGTTTTGGAACTTCCTCCAGACGCTGCCCACTCAGTCTCAGCTTCCCGGCCCCAGAAACAGCTTTTTAAAAAACTGGAAGTTGAGGTTTCAGGAAGTGCAGCTCTGCACCCAGTGCCACATTCAGGGCTTTCCCCCTGGCGCACACATACAAACAGCCCCACTCGTAATTAGAGAGGGAGAGCCTGAGAATCTGGCCAAAGGACAATCCGGTGAATCCTCCTGGTACAGAAGAAAAATCCCACTGCAGACCCTTCTGCAGGTTCTCTGGCCGAGCCCCCCCAGCGCGACTGCTCAGAGCAGCATAGTGCAGTGGGGGCAGACACTCAGCAGGGGGCCGGCTTGCTCTCTGCCACCAGCAGCAAAGGAGGGAGCCTTGCTTGGCCCCGGCTGGCAGCAGCAGAGGAGGAGCCTCGCTTGGCCCCGGCCGGCAGCAGCAGGGGTGTAAGGAAAAACAGTTCCTTGCTCTGTTCTGTAAAATAAAATCTTTGGTTCAGGCTGCAAAGAGGCCTGCAGGAATCTTCCCAGAGATAGTTAAGAGACAGCACAGAAGTAGATAGAGCACAGTGACCTTGCCAGCTAAATTCTTTTTCAGCTGAAGTGCTGGGGAGCACCAACTGCCCTTGGCCCTTCCAATGGGCACATTTCCAAGCAACTGAAGTTATGGACACCTGTGTATGGGAGGGGGCAGACCTAGCTGCAGGATGGTTTTGGTTCTCTCCCTCTCTCTCTTGTCCATCCTTGGATGTCACGTGCCCGGCAACCAAGAGAGCCAAATCACCTCTCGGGTATCTCACTGGTCCAAAAGGCCTAGCATCAATCAAACACCTTTTTCCTACAGATCTAGTGAGTCCTCACACTATGGCGTGGAGCTTGGTGACTACTTGACACAGCATTATGTCAGTGGTCCAAGAGCTCCCAGAATGGCATCCCGCTTGCTTCCCTGACAACGGAGGCCCAGGTAGCAGCCACTGCCAAGGCAGCCTTCTACCATCTTCGGCTGATTAGGCAGTTGGTCCCCTTCCTCGAATGCAATGATCTGGCTTCAGTGATCCATGCTATGGTCACCTCGAGGCTAGACTACTGCAATGCTCTCTACATGGAACGTTTTATTTTAACACAATGAATATTTTGAGGCAAGGTGTTCAACTATTTTCCAAATCATTTCTAAAAAATAGGTATGGTATCAGATTGATCTAATTTCTGCGCACTGAGGACAAGCAAGTCCTAGGTTACAAACTGAACTCTCCAATGCAAGAACAAGATGCATTTCTTCCTTTAGGAGGTGCTATTGCCACGAGAAAAGAAAAAGGTTTCAGTTTTGTTTTTCCATGTGGGTGGGTATTCTGTTTGTAATAATAGTTTGGATAAACTATATTTTTTAATACGCTCGTTGTGATAATTTCATGCCAAGTAAAAATGCCCATAGTCATATTTTATGTTTGTAAAGTAACAGAATGACTTTCTATCTGGAAAAGAAAGAAAAAGTGGTAATGCAGCGTTTTCCCCAATTTTCCCGAAAATTTCCATTTTTTTCCCGGGGGGGCGGGTTTTTTCCCCGAGCTTCAAAATTTCCAGAAATTTTACATCTCTATGCACTCCCCTTGTACCAAAAGCCCTTACCCTGGTGGTTGGGAGTTGGGACTTTTGACATGGGGCCCTCGCTCACGGTGAACAGAGACGGTGAGCCAACCCCTGTGTTAAGAGGCACAGCGGCGGTGAACATGCGGGAGCACCTCTCACCTTCAGTCAGGCTGGGCGTGGGCAAGGCCGCCCTCACCTGCTCCAGGGGCCCGCTGAGCAGCCGCAGGTTGCTGATGTGGAGGTTCATGGCCTTGTGCAGCTCGGCGTTGGTGAAGCTGGCCTTCTCGTGCACCTCCATGTACTTGGCCCACTCCTTGGCGACCTCCGCCAGGGCGGAGGAGGCGGTGGCCGGAGGAGAGCCCTGCTGGGGGGGCAGCTTCCCCAGGGTCTCCCGCAGCTTCTGCTCCTGGGCCTCGTCCTCGTCCAGGAGGTCCCTGATCTCCTTCAGCGACGCCTCCACATCTGTGAAGACGCCCGACAGCACTGGGGGAGGAAGGAGAGCCGCGGTAACGGGGGCGGGACCGCGGGCAGAGCGGTGCCAGGCCGCTCCCAGCACAACACAGGGGAGGAGGACCTCTCCAGCCTCAGCTCTGGGAACCGATTCCGCCCCGGGAAAGGGCTGTGATTCTTCCCGCAAGCAGCACCACCTCCTGGGACAGGGCTCCGGCGCCCCACCTGCCTGCCACCCTTGCTTACAGAAGTGCCCGAGGAACCATCTGGGGATGACAGCAGATAACGACCACCCACTATGGCACCACCACCCCCCCCCGGTCGGGTATATTCTCCCTTTCCCCCAGATTAAAGTCACGGCACTCTAATGTACAAAAACAAAAGATGCTGTGACAGCTACTGGTTCTTACAGCCAATGTCCGTTCTGTTCTGTTGCACAATTTTCCCGATCTTCTCCAGACCCCTCCTGGGATCGGGGAGGGAAAGCAAGGCATTGTAAACGTGCCTAGGTTCCCTGCCTGCCCTTTTCCAGCTACAATCTGTCAGCTAGAGAAGGGAAGGCTTTCGCTTGTCAATTTTACTCCCAACTGACTGGCTGGGAGTGAAACTGACAGGGAAATCTGTAGGGTCTACCAGAGGGAAAGAAGGCACATGCCTCCTTTCCCTCCGGTGGTGTAAATCCGACCGGAATATATTCGGGAATACTGAATACAGCCCTACTTCGAATACCTTATTGGCATTTTATTTAGACAGGATGCTGGACTGGATGGATTGGTCTGATCCAGCAGGGCTCATCTGATGTGCTTATCAGGGGAAGGCCTCAGCCTCTCTGCCCTGTTGTTGGCCCTCCAGAGGAACTGGCTGGCCCCTGTGTGAGGCAGGAGGCTGGACTGGATGGACCCTCCCTGGTCTGACCCAGCAGGGCTCTTCTGGGGTTCTTCTCAGGGGAAGGCCTCGGCCTCTCTGCCCTGTTGTTGGCCCTCCAGAGGAACTGGCTGGCCCCTGTGTGAGACGGGATGCTGGACTGGATGGACCCTCCCTGGTCTGACCCAGCTGGGCTCTTCTGGTGTCCTTATCAGGGGAAGGCCTCGGCGCCTCTGCCCTGTTGTTGGCCCTCCAGAGGAACTGGTTGGCCCCTGTGTGAGACGGGATGCTGGACTGGATGGACCCTCCCTGGTCTGATCCAGCAGGGCTCTTCTGATGTCCTTATCAGGGGAAGGCCTCGGCCTCTCTGCCCTGTTGTTGGCCCTCCAGAGGGACTGGTTGGCCCCTGTGTGAGACGGGAGGCTGGACCAGATGGACCCTCCCTGGTCTGATCCAGCAGGGCTCTTCTGGTGTTCTTCTCAGGGGAAGGCCTCGGCCTCTCTGCCCTGTTGCTGGCCCTCCAGAGGAACTGGCTGGCCCCTGTGTAAGACGGGAGGCTGGACTGGATGGACTCTCCCTGGTCTGATCCAGCAGGGCTGTTCTTGGGTTCTTATCTTCAGGGATCTGTGGAGAATGCCGGACTGCCCCTGCTGAAGTGTAACTCCCTCCCCAAGAGGCAGGATGGCAGAGGCAGCTGCTTACCCTGCATGGACTGGACAAGGTTCTTCACCGTCTCCGGGCGCACGCTCAGGGCTGCGCACTTCTCCATCAAGACAGGTGGGATGTGGTTGTACATGTCCAGGTTGTCCACCGTCTCAGGGTCCAGTTGCAGAGAGTCCATGAACTGCCTACAAAGAGAGAACCATCATGAGGCCAGGCAGGCACCGGAGCCAGGCCACCCGAGCAGTGAGGAATCGGCCAACGCTCAGCTGGTTTCAAGCCGTCGGCAGCCTGGGAGGCCATCACCGTCACCTCCTGGAGCAACACCACGTCCACAGGGGCCGTGGCTCAGGGGCAGAGCTCCTGCTTGGCGCGCAGAAGGTCCCAGGTTCAATCCCCGGCATCTCGAATTAGAAACGACCAGGCAGTAGGTGATGTGGAAGACCTCCGCCTGAGACCCTACAGAGCCGCTGCCAGTCTGAGTCGGCAATACTGACCTGGATGGACCAGGGGTCTGATTCAGTAGAAGGCAGCTTATTTACTGGGGGAGCAGGCGTGGCTCAGTGGTAGAGCACCTCCTTTGCATGCGGAAGGTGCCAGGATTCGATCCCTGGAGGCATCTCCATTTGAAAGAGCCGCTGCCAGTCTTAGACAAGACTAAGTCTTAGACAAGTACTTTTCTCCCTTATCCAAGTCTTATGAGGAAATCCAGGTCTTAGGAGGAAAGAGTTGAAAGAGCTGGGTCTGTTTAGCCTGGGAAAGAGAAGGCTTAGAGGGGACACGATTGCAGTCTTCAAGTATCTGAAGGGCTGTCATGTAGAAGATGGAGCGGATCTATTCTCTCTTGGCATCTTCACCGCTTGAGCCACCGCAGCTTCAGTAGAAGGCAACTTATTTACTGGGGGAGCAGGTGTGGCTCAGTGGTAGAGCACCTCCTTTGCATGGAGAGGGTGCCAGGGTTCGATCCCTGGCGGCATCTCCGTTTGAAAGGACCAAGTGGAGAGTGATGGGAAAGACCTCCGCCTGAGACCCTGGAGAGCCGCTGCCAGTCTGAGTAGACAAGGCTGACCTCGATGGCCCAATTAAGGTCAAGGCAACTTCATGTGTTCGTGTCATGGTGCTCCTTTGGGGCTGCGGCTCACTGGCGGAACACCGGCTTGGCATGCAGAAGGTCCCAGGTTCAATCCCCGGCTGCATCTCCAGGTAAAAGGATCA